TATCCGGTAGCGTCTCGTTTTGATGACGACACATCCGCTGATAGCGTTATGTACAGAATCACGTCTTTCCAGTTAAACAGACAATGGTGTGCTGTACAGTATGTAAAGTATACGAAATCAATTCGCTATCACCTAATTGAAGATATAAACATGAACTCTATGCCAACTTCGTGTGGGGGAATGGTTATGATCATGATAAATACATATGCGTCCTCCGTGCTCAACGTGAGGGGGTATAGCTCAGTGGTAGAGCATTTGACTGCAGATCAAGAGGTCCCCGGTTCAAATCCGGGTGCCCCCTTTTTTTCAGTTTTGCGTTAGTCATTTGCAAAACTTTAATTTGTCACCTTAATGACAAGTCAAGCTTTTGGAATTTAATGATAATAATAATAATAATATTAACAGCCAGAATACAAGTAAGACTGACCTTTAAAATGCACTTCTCTCTACAGTGTTACAGTGTGCTATCACAATGAGCTGAACACCCTCAGATATCAAGTTCAGAAACACAAAAGGCATAAATACAGTTAGGTCCAGTTGGGATTGTCATTTTGCCTTCATATACCACCAGCATATATTTGAAATTGAACAGTCAAGATACAAACACACAGGATTTTAGCTGTATGTTGATTTGCAGATGTTCATCATCAGCAGCAATTTTTGTCAGTCTGACTGTCTGGAATTCGGCATGTGGTTTAACACAATGTTACTGTAACAAACTATAGTCTACACACTAACAAAAAATGGCACACAGTGATGTCGACTTATATGACAGACTAACAAAGACTGTAAATAACTGCGTGTTTCAGACTTTATTAAAGTGAATACTGCGACAATAACAGTGTGGCACACTCCACTTCGAGACTGCACAGTTTTAACATAAATCATGTTTGTTCTGCTGTTTCTGCTGTTTCATCAGCCAGCTCATGTGGATCTAACCTGGGCAGGTCAGAAGGGCCATCAGTAGGAGATATGAGAAAAAGGTGATGAAGAAAAAAGGAAGACAGAATAACATGAGACTGGATTATGAGGATCATCCAAAGACTTCCAAAGCAACATACATGATGTTGCCATGTTAGCTGTCAATTTAAAAAAATCAGATGGCAGTACAGAATTCAGTATTTAGGGAATATTTTTTACCTTTGCTCAGCTCAGAGGAGTAACTGCAGGCCAAATGTCTCCATTCCTCCATATACCTGCACAGGCAAGAGAGGAAAATTCATACTCGGGCCCCCCATGATGCAGGAAATTATAAGAAAGATTACAAATGCCACAAACATTCTAATCAGAGTGCCTTACTCCTCAAAGTTTAGCGTGTTGGTCCAGGCCAGCAGCTCATCCAGCTCCCATTCCAGTATTTCATCATCTCCTTTCTTTTCAACGGTCTCCATCAATTCCTGGGCGGAACTCTCCACCAGGGCCGCCATGTGTCTGTGCTCTGCATGATCCTGCAGACGACCCTCTTTATACCTGTATGTAAGGAACAGAAGTGACAGCTCATTTAGCACAATTAAAACAACACATCATTATGTGTTTGTTAGCAAAGATGTGATTCTATATGGGGGAGGGTTCTATCACTATTAATAAGTAACAGACACAAACTTCAGATTGCATGTACATTATTGTGATCATGCTACAGTGGTTTGCTCGCCAACTGTTTCATTTCCCAAAAACATAAAGCACTTACATCTGCTTCAGCCATTCAATTTTCTTTCTTTTCCTCCACCTCTCTAAATCTTGCTTCCGCTGCAACTTGGAGTAATGAAAGTCCATTTTTTTGTAAGCACCGATCTCTGCAGGCTCACATGCCAAAACCACCTAAGAGAGAAGACGAAGTAAAAAAAAAAAACCAAAACAGACTTGCAGAACTTCAGCTTTTAGAGGCTTCTTTTTAAACAGCATTTGTAAACTTGCTGTAGCTCTTTGGCTCCCTGTTTCTAAACAAATGGCAGAACTTGACTAAAGCGGAACAGAAAATCATTTTTGTTCCTCACCTTGTTACAGAACAGCCTCCAACTATTGTTCTCCATGCGCTTGTACCAACCCGATCGGTCATCCTTTGCGACAGCTGGGCCTTCGTTGGTCTTCTGGGCCACAAGCTTCCTACGACTTTGCTTGGTGTAGTCTTTTGGGCTGCCTGCACACACATCCGTAATGGGCCGATGGGTGAAGATCTTGTAATAAATATCAGGAGGAAAGTTGATCTAAAATGGCAGAGAGGTTAGCCTTAGAGAGGAAGGCATGTCTCTAATATTATATTCATATAGCTCCTGAGTGATCTATTCCTGACCTATACTATTTTCTCTCTGAGTTCTTACCCCTCCAAGTCGAAATCTGATAAACACTCCAGCTGCAGCATCCAGCAGTTCGGCCTGCCACAACAAAATCACATTTCATTTAGTTTGATTTGGTTTTATTTCATAGGGGTTGCAATTTCCATTACCTCTCGAGGATTGACAGTTTTGAGGATGGTCTTTGGATCCTGCTGTTTGAAGTAGAAAATCAGCTCTTTGAAATACCTGAAGACTTCACTGGCCTGCAATTTGGGTAGATTAAAAAAAAAAGCTGTTCCTACAATTGTGTACATATGTGAGTCTGTGTTCCCATAGCAGCAGTAGTAGATGTTCCTACCACATATCCTCTCCAAGTCCTCTGAATTATTCTGGCTGCCACCTCCTGCAGGGTCCCTTGTTGGGGCTCGTCCTCCTGCAAGCTACAGAAGAGGAAACATGAGAAGGAAGGACAAAGAGACCGATTACTTTTTACATTACAATATATTGCATAATGTGTCTTATGATGAGTTCTACTGATGAGAGAACCAACAGTGGGAAAATTTACTCTGATTTAGATACTTATTTTTCGTATAATCTGGTGGTATGCACTTTTATTTCATTCAAATTATAGTCATTTTAATTGACTTCATAAAGCTAATTCACCACACTTTTTTCTTTAGGAGGAATTAAGCTGTTTTTTTTTTTTTAAATGTATGTTTTCCATTACTTTTAACAAACTGTTAAGGTTAAATGTTATTTTATAGATTAGGACTTTAAATATAAAAATGTGCAGTCATTTTCTAAAATATCATACACAGCAGCTCATTTGTTGCCTATTAAATAGCCTTAGTAATACTATGCAGATAGCTTGGGGTATAGGTCCAACATAAAGTCTATTAATAACTCGCTCAAGAAATTTCTGACATAGCATATTACTGTGATAAAATACAAATTGGGTTTTCTGTGTGTGTGTATGTATCAATAAAACGGCATAAAAACTTCTGCATAATGGAAAAGTCATAAAAAATGTTGTCCCACTACATACAATACAAAAACAACTTGATTTAAAGTTTGCAATTTATCTGGGAACAAAGGCATCAAACAGCTAACGTTAGCTAACTTAAGCCAGGAAAATAAAATATACAGTATTTACATTGTGTGATACACACGTGACTTCTTATCATATGCAAACGTCATTGTGATGTAAAATATACATCACCTCATGACTGCTGCCAATTATTCTCTAAACATATCAGCTGATGGCAGCAGATGTTTTGAAAATATCTCAGTAGGTTACTTGGCAACGTAGCCTGACATTAATTAGTCTTCCGGGAAATATTTTCAAAATAAAATGTTCTTTTGCTCAGTTGTATTACTTAACGGCAGGACATAGAAGTTCACTATAAGTCAAGACCAAGACTGAAAACCACGTCACGTTTAGAGCCATTCAAACCACCTTTCTTCCCCATTCAGATGCTCAGTTTGACCTTCAATAGCCCATGTCTACAAGCCTAAAGCACTGAGTTGCTGTCACATGATTAGGTGATTAGATATCTGCATTAACGACTTATTGAACAGGCATACCTAATATAGTGGCAGATGAGTGTAGTTTTAATATCGCTGACCATTAGATGGCGCTCTTTTACAAGTAACCCCGGCTTCTGTGGTTTTTCCACCACTCTTATGGTTGACATTAATCTTTAGTATGCATATATTTTCTGAAACTTTAGACTCTAACCATATTATATGCCAAATCCTTACCTCGAACTGTCTTCTTAATATAATTTCACAACTTTCCATTAAATATGACTGTTTGAATGGATTTGTCCCCACAAAATGAGCAATACCGGTACCAGCACTCACATA